ATATATATAATTTTTGCATTGAAATAAGATAGCTCGAAAAATATGGAAATAGAAAAAAACCTAAAAATTAAAGGAAAATCAACTTACAGTTCCCTCTCTCCGCAGTGGCTAGAATATCTGATAGTCAAAAAAGCGTTCCAGCAAACAATAACGGCGGGCTCTAAAACATCTTTGTTAAATGCTAACCGAATCTCACTTTTTTCAGATAAAATGTTGTCAGGAACTCTTGTCACTTATATTTTGTATCTGGAACAACTTGAGACCAACCTTTACGTAAGTTTCATTTGCCCAACTGCGAAAGGCACTAGATTTGATCGAATGGTATTTTCTAAACAAATTCACATCATTTTAGATCCTAGGATCAGCAATGACACAGGTGATGAAATGCGTTGGAGCTTCACGAAAGGTCAGCAACACGAACTTTATGTTTCTTTGCAATTTTAGTACATTTCTTCAGTCGAATATCTTGAGTGTAGAGATGTGCCAAAATTAAAAACTAAGAACCAATACTTTCAAGAAGATAAAAGACTAAAGGAGGATGCGCCTTTGCTGGACGCATATCCCATCAACTTGTTTAACGGCACAGTTTTTCTTCACATAATGAATGAAAGCTTCAAAAAGGGAGATTCGATAAGCTAGCAGCTTTTGTCAATTAGCATTATTTCTTCCACGTAAAATCTATTGAAGGGAATATAAAAAATACTGCAAAAATTTGTGAGAGAAGTTTTGAATTTACCTCCTCCCGTTCTTCCAGATATTCGCTCTAATGAATCACGATTCTGACAACGCTTCTAAGGGAATTGAAAAACCGGAAATATCAGGAAAGATAGAATTAACTTCGGTACACTTTGTATATCCATCAAGACCAGATAGAAAAGTAGTAGAGGTTAGTCTAATTTAGAAAAATCCTATCTACCATGTAGTGCAGAACTTTTAGGACTTGAATTTGGCGATCGAGACGGGTAGCACTGTTGCTTTTGTGGGTAGCAGTGGAGGAGGAAAATCTACTGTAGTGGCGTTAATCGAGCGTTTCTACAAGCCAACGAGTGGTTCGATATTGATGGACGGAATCTCTATTGAAGAGATCGATCATGAATACTACCATGAAAAGGTGAATGGGAAGCTTAGGTGCCTTGGGAAAAACGAAAAATCACTCTTTCCCAATTTCACCGTAACAAATTGAATATTAGCAAAGATGAGTTTTAGATAGCGCTAGTTGCACAAGAGCCGGTGCTTTACAATGGCACTATTCGTGAGAACATTCTCTATGGTTGCGAGTGGGCTACGGAAGCTGATATGCTGAGATCTGCTCAGACTGCAAATGCACATGATTTCATAA